GTTAAATTAATTATTTAAATCAAATTTACATTATCCGTTTTAAGAAATATTGGGCAGTTGTGTCAAAGAAAGTATGTGTATATAGACATCAGTGCCTTGAATATTAACATTTATTTATGTTAATTCAATCTATTCATGTACACACATTTACATATAAATTATCTTTAAATAGAATTTACCTTTCATAAATTCCGTAATCGATGACCGCGAGAATTTCTAGGTTATACTTTTTCCCGCCTGGAAGCACACTTTCCCTGATGACTTTTGCTGTTTTGCCAAATGCAGCGACCTGACCAAGTTCTATAGGAGCTGAAAAAGAAAAAGTAACCCTTTTCTTAAAATAACGTTTAGTGGTTTACAGTTTTTTTTTTACAATTTGTATAATTCGAAATTATAAATTTTTACTGCAAACTCGTTATTGTTCGTGGGTGTCTATATTTCGTGCTTTTCGTGGATAGGTGAATCCACGTGTTTAAGATCCAAGAAAATTTACTGCTGAAAGATTTTTTTTGCATTGCATTATTTTCATTTGAATTTTATTGCAAAAAAAAAACCAAAGACACTTCACGAATGTAAGAACCCACGAAAAATGCCTTTTTGACAATACCACGAATTGTCATGCCAATGAAATTAAGTGTTTTGTTCGAAATTATCAAAAACGTAAAAGACAAGAAAGATGTGCAATGACCATAACAAGACCAACGAACTAAAATGAAATAAAAAAATATTGATGTTTACGCAGCCATTATAAACGTTTAAGAAGAAATATCAAACAAAGTTTATATACTTTATATTACCAAAATGATTTGTTTGTTATCATGTAAACATTGCTACGTACATGGCAGGTAAAATGTGCACAATTAATTGTTATTGGTGGGGGAGTGGGAGTGGACCGTATAGAAGTTATTATTGACCACTTTGATATGCATGACATTTATATGAATAGTCAAGGCGTTGAACTTATAGTTTCATAAATGACCGCAAACTAATAAGACAAATAACATACCTACATACATATATAATATATATAGCATATATAGGCATATTCTTATTAAACAAAGCACGTCAGGCCTTGTCGCTCATGACTTTTTGTATGTCAGTCGTAAGTATCATACGAAAATAAAACGTTATTAATTAATTACAATGAGCGTTACTGTGTGACACGTGTTTGACACGTGTTTGACGGAAACAATTATCAACTAATTAGCAGGTACCTCGTGAATCGTATCTTAATTAGGATATGTTTCTATGAAGTGTATTTTTTTGGAAATAAATTTCCCCTATCATATTATAATAACAATCAGAGCACAGCAGATTATAAATTCACCCTTAAACTGATGAATTTGTGTACTGGAGTTGCTCCGCTTTAAATTTGGAAATCTTAATATAAAAAACAACCGAAAAACTTAGCTAAATCTACAGTATATGACCTGGATAAAATGCAAAGACATGCATTCTGGTCTGGCTCTATGGTAATAAAGACTAAACACTTTTGGTTTCTGCAGGCAAGGGGTAAAGCACTAGGGAGCAAATTATTATTTTCTTGTATAGATTCGAATATACCCAATCAGACTAAAATACTTGTGAATAATTGTATACACTTTTTGCTCTTAAAAATGCATTGCATAGTTCTACCGTGAAATACCTAATACTACAAAATGTGTCTTAAGTCTTATTTTTACCTTTCTTCTTTGTAGTCACTAGGTGTCCCTGGCAACTGTTCAGTTTTGTAAATGCCATATACTTTACTGTGTGAGTTTGCCTTTTTAGCAATGGTTTTTGCCCTCTCCCATAACTTATCTGCGGGCGCTGCCTGTCTTTTCATTCTTCCTAATGCAGAGTCTTGCATTGGAGACATTCGATATTCTTGATTTCCGGAGCAAAACGTCCCTTCCTATGAAAAAATATATAATTTCGTTTATTTTTACGAAAATAATTTCGTTTAAATACAATTTGTATATATTTTATTATTTTACATTTGTCATCAATTTGACATCTTAACTACTAAAATTAACTTCCTTATGCAGAATTTTGTATTGAAAACACGTTACAATCGTGGTTTTCCGAGCATAACGTCCCTTCATTTGAAAAAAAACAAACATTTATCTTTAGGAAATTAATTCGTATATATATTTTGACAACCGTTGCAAGCTTGACGTCTGATTATTTATATCAATTCCTTAAGCAGAATCCTGCATTGGAAACATATAACACTCTTGCTTTCCTGACCAGATTGTCATTTCTTAAAAATATCGTTTAATTATCGCAATAAATTCGTTTATTATTTTTCTATTCGTTTCAAGCTTCACATCTTTACAAAATTAACTTCCTTATGCGGATTTTTGCATTTTAAACATGTTATACTCTTGGTTTCCCGAGCAAAACGTCCCTTGCCATGAAACAAATAAAAAAATCGTTCATTTAAAAGAAAATAAATTCGTTTAAATAAAATTCGTATAAAAAGTTTTTTTGACATTCGTTACAATCTTGACAACTTTATTACTCATATTAACTTTAGGTTTTTGTTTGCATATATTTAATTTTACACATCATGCGAACCTGACAAAGTTTGATGACAGGTTCAGCTACAAAATATCATTTTATAAATTTATGAGTATATGATATAGAGCACAAAAAGGAAAATAATATTGCTGAAACGATATTATGATAGTGAAGTAAATGAAATGAGTGAAATAAAAAAATGAGTGAAATAAATGAAATAAATACATTGAGTGCAATAAATGAAATAAATACATTGAGTGAAATAAATGAAAGCTTTTATAACAACAAAAATATGATTAAAAGTAGGTACATGTAAAGAGCTCAGTAAGACTTTTTTCAATTTCTTTGTATTTTACATTTATGATCAAAAGCCTATGCTTACCATTGTAGTATCACAGTTGCCCGTGTTATTGGATACATTGTCTTTGGGACATGACAAAGTAAAAATGGCGCAGTTTGCAGGGTCTTGATATTCTCCAAACACCTGTAATAGAATTTCAAAAATTTCATTCAGTTTTGACATACATTATTTACCTATAAAATGATTAATCATTTAAACTTGCATTAAATTGCATAAATGAATTTTCTGATCAGTCAAATTAACACTTCATAAATAAATGTGTTTCGATATGAAAATGATATCTTGCTTTTTTTTTAAAGTTAGACCAATTTTGACTAAATGTAAACAATTTCCGTTTAGTAATGAAAAGGTAAATTGCGTAATAAGGTGATGAAAAACAGTGAATAAAGAAGCAAAGTTTGTTACAACGCTAGTTAATCTAAAATTAGAAAATTGAACATAAAGATACAAAAATTATGATTTCAGCAAATGTGAAAACAGTTTCACATTTAGAAAACTGACGCCCTATTATTTTTTAACCCATAAAGGTTTAAGAGAAGATTTCCGCCCAGTCGTGTAATTCGCAACTTTAGCATTTTCTGCCTATACAATGTGAGGTAAATTTTCGCACGAATATTGTATTCAGCTAGCCTTCAGGTCCAAAAGTTTTAAAACTTTCCGCGAGTTCTGTTCCAAATCTCAAGATTCTATTTGGTCAATTTACATTCTGTGTGCAATTTCTAACCAATCAGATACCTGAGATCAGAGCTTGACCCTAGGTAATTTCTTTATGATCTCGGACCCAGGTAATTTCTGATCTAATTAAGTACGCTATAAATAAACGGTGCTGAAAACATTAAAAAAAATGTTGGAACACCGATAGACAAAAGTCCTACCTCATTTTCCCCTAGGCCATACGGCATAACAACTGGTATTCCAGATTCTGATTTTCTTATCACATAAACATTTTTGGCACTTGTTGCCTTTGGATTTCTTTTAAGATGAAGAGATACTGTACGTCCTAAAACATCTAAATTTAAATCAACATTTTTTGGGAGACCATCTTTAGACTTTGTCGCACTGTTCAATGCTGTGTCGTCCACAACTGTAAAGTCAACGGGCTCTGAAAAAAATGTAAATTATTTTAGATAAATGCGATTCTTATAGTACGATAAGCTAATTTTAGGTGCAAAACTTTCGTAAAAATGTTAAATATTGAAGTGCTTGCGCTTCTGCGTGTTAAAAGGATTATATGTGGTAAAAGTTTAAATAAGAGACAAAATTAATTATAATAAATAGGTTTTCTTTAGGTTAATTAAGGGGAATTTAGGTTGATTTCAAATATGAATTTTGTTACAGGCCGAATTCAACAACAAAAAGGTTAACTATATAAATCAGTTATTTATGTCCAAATTTCATCACGTAAAATAAAATCATTTTCCGTTTGTTCTCCGAAGAACAGAAACAAGTATCCACTTTAATATTTGTCAATAAATTAGTTATAAAAACATTCTTATATCGTTTATTTATTTATTTTATTGATTAACTTATTTAATATTTCTATGAAAATTTTATTTTATACCTGTTTGGTTGTTCGGGTCATTTACTGCCTGCGACAAAGCACTTGATATCCATAAAGCACTAATCAAATAAAAATAATTCCGCTTCTTTTGCATTGTGACAAATTTTCCCACTTGCCTCCTTTTTCGGACCCGTAATTACTTCTAAAGACAATGGCTGGTTATTATATATATAAGATATAAAACAGTACAAATGATGACGCCTACTTCACGCGCGCGTGCATTTCTGATTGATCGAAAAACAACAGGTAGTATTTAAAGCGGAGTTCCAGTAATAAATGACATTTATAGAGGCCCCCGTAAGTATAAACAAAAAACACAAAACACATCTTAGTTACGTAAACCGGACTCAATAAAGTCATGTGGCTTTTGGTCATAACAGTTAATTAACTCATTGATTGATTACGTTTTTTGAGAATGTACTAGAATATACTTTATTTAATCATATCCGAATGACTCACAGAGTGAGTAAAATAAGTAATTATGTACAAATAAGGAATCAATTTTAGGAAAAAATGACACTATACTCGTACATTGTGTAAGCATGTCCCTCAAGCAATTTAAAAATTGAACTTCATACCGTCTGAATCACTATGATATGTTTTCTTACTTTGAGCTCAATGTTTAAGGAATATCAATATCGGGAAAAAATGTTGAGTTATCAAAATTATAGCCTGGTCAAACTGCACGAATGTGTAGGCATGCCTGGCTCTATACTGATATCAAAGTCCTTTCACTTTCGGTTTCTGCAGGTAATGGGTTCAGAGTATGACAAAAAGAACCGAACTGTGCTCATTCAGAGCATTAAGATTTGGACAATTAATAATGAGAATTCCTTGGCAGAACTTTTATGCTTAAAAGTGTACAGAAGACCCCTGTATCTCATTTGTCATCATCAATCGCTAATTCGAGTTAATGATAATAAACATATATAAGGGGAAGCTTACAAAGCATAGCTAGATTGGCTTCTTCTAAAAAGGTATCTTGCACAATTAACTTGCAACACCCGCGTCCATCCTCAAGAAAAAGGAGGAATCTTGACTTATTACTCTCAAACCTCGTGCTATAGGCAGTCAGCTGGCCAAATTCTGTTTAATGCTCCCGCATTCAATATAGGCAATTCCATCGCCTGGTATTTTGGCGCCAGAACAAAACAAACTCATTCTCGGGGACGGATAAAAATCATTCCAAAGCTATTTCCTGCACTTTGACCAGTGAAATGCAGGCCTGGGTTATTTTATTACACAATCGCTTATTTAGGTATTTTCTTCCTTCTCCCACTTTTCCCTCTTTCCTGTTGATACGTGACATTGTGTACAAGGTCATATTGTACGCATTCATGCAAATTCCGTTTGTAGACAACCATTCAAAATGTCACATACGATGTCATAAGTTTAATGAATATACAAAAAACGTCATACAATTATAATAACTTAATTATTTGAAATTTGTTTATAATCGTTTGATGTGCTGTGTTTTGTTTCTAATTACATCTAATATCTGATTTCAAATTCAAATTATGTCAAGTTTGTATAAACAAGCAAACGTTTGTTTCTTTCGTAATCTGTCTGGGAGAAAATGATAATAATGAAATAACTTCTGCTATGAAAGGTTAAAGCTTAAAAAGATGCCTTCTTTAAATAGCTACTGGAATATTTGGTTTCAATACGGAGAAAAATCTTTCCTTTGATCACTTATTGGTATTTAAATAGCTATGTGATAATATTCACGTTCTGCTCAATATCGTTTTGTCATTTATATATTTTGGTAATTTACACAAAACTTGGGATCAAGTGTTTTACAGTCAAATTGACCTTTATGAATAATTGTTCTCCGCCTTTTCGAAGAAAAAAGGCATATGGAAATGGGCTCCGTCCGTCTGTCCGACCATTTGTCACACTTTCGTATCCGGTCCATTACCAAACCATTTATCAAAGGAATTTGGCATAATTTAGAAAAAGTGTTTTCTATAATAAGACGATGTTTCATGTACAATACCCATACCACTATCTCAAAGGTCAAGGTCGCACAATGAGGTCAAAGCCTAACATGGTCTGTTACAGTGTATGCTGCAAAGTCAGGCCCAAGCTAACAAAATCATTGGTGAATCGCCCACAAACCTTGACCGATGAAAAAATTTACGGACCGGACGCGAAATGTAACACACCAGACCATACCTTGTATTCATATTTTTTGGTTTTGAAATGGTGATTACATCTATACAATTGTATTTCTGTTGACAGTTGACACTTACACAGAAGTTCTTTCATTCATTTTTTAATGATTTTTTGTTTTATCATTAAATTTATCGTCGGATACCCACGGTTGATTAACATGTAACACGACATGATAAATAAATGTTAATGGTTTGGTCGTGGATATCCGACGATGATTGATCATGATTTTGCACTGTAAGTCCATTTTCAAATAGCACACTTTTGTGCTTCATGTAAAACTTCCCTTAGGCGGGGGACGTTGGTAACTTGTGGGAAATGACGGAAATTGAAAAAAGCATATACCAAATAATAAAACATGTTTAAAATGAAAAAAAAAAAACTGCAGTTTACTGCAGTGGGGTGGGGGGTGGGCCGTGGGTAGTGACCAATCAACGCGCTGAACACCTATGATATAAAGCATATAGTTATATAAATTAATTAATTAAATAAGAGTATTTTTCAAATATTTGTAGGCCTAGTTAAACGAGTACAATTGTTGGTGTTTTTTGTTATGTTGATAAACGATTTGATAACTCGTGTTATTAAATGGGACGAAAACTGACTGATTTCACTGGAAGTGAGTCATCAATGCGAGTCTGTCCTAGCCGGTTTAACCGACGTAAATTAACGTTTATGGCGTTATCTCCGTAGTAAACCTGTCGTTTAAAGGTACTAAAATAACTGGAGCGTAAAGATTGGTGTGAGACATAATAATATGTTTACAATTAATTGTTGAACCAATAAAATCAGCGTATCGACCTTCTAGTATCAGGATTAAGGTCAAACAACACGGTATTTTACTAATATAATTATGTATTATTTCTAATAATTAGGATAACAGGAAAATTTACAAAAACCTATCACGAGAATCCTCCGAGAGTACTAATTGAAAAATAAATGACTGGGAATTAACACATGAAGCATATAATTATAAGAGATGAACACTTTCTTTTTCTTCGGTTGCGTTTGACGTCGCCCAAACACATAATAGGTCATATGACGACTGTCCAGTTTTATTGGCGATGAAAGACTTCCGGTGCCCCTCCGTGCCCTAGATATACTCTTGGGAATAAAATGTGAATTTCATTTACGATATTTATATCAGCCTTCAGTGTTGAAAAAAAAATGTAATATTAAAAATATCCCAGTATATTAAAGCTGTTTTGTTACGTAAATGGGTTTTAAGTCACATCAAGAATGTAAAGTAAGTATTGACCTAAACCATTCGGCAACGGACACCTCTCCATCTAAAAAGATACCATACATATAACTTTAATAATTTAATTTACCCTTGGTCCGGCACAACAGAGACATGGGCCATGTATATCGACTAGTTGAGGTTAACATTGGAGTTAAATTTAAAGAAAATCCGTCAAGAGATGAAGAATTTATAGAGCTGACATGATGGAGACGGAGGGATGGACAAATGGACCCACGCAACAACATGATTACCATTCATATTATGTGGTGGGCGTATACGAACACTTATTCTTATATAGTTTATTAAAAAATCTTTAAATGCTTTGCAGGAAACTTACTATTATATTTCACCCTGTTTCTAGTAGTGAAATACGATTTTATTTCATCACTAATACATCGGAGTATCTCACTAAAAACCAGGTTAAAGAGGAAATTTGTTTGCTTATTTTTCAGTTAGTCACTAAAACGTGTGAATTATTCATTTCATGAACAATTTTGCTTCTGCCTACATTTTTGAATGTATTGAACAGGAACCAAATTTCTATATGTCACTTTATAGTTAGCAATAATGTGATATCACTTATATCTCAATGATATATGTAAGAATTTCATCCAATAGATAAATCTAACAGATATCGTGTTGATTTTTATCTGTGAAAACTGCTCCATAGTTTTCTTACCTTGAATTATTCAAAGATTGTTAACTAAAATATAAATGCTTCATAGTTTTGTATTTTTATTTCACTAAAATAAACACAGTGAATAAACTAACAAAAAATGTTTATTTCTTTTAACTTTATAGGATAAATTATAACAGTAAAACAATACTAATTAAAGAATGGTATGTTGAAATATGAAAAATGCTTAACTTTCTTACCAAACAAAAGACTTAGGCCTATAAAAATATGATAATTTTAATAAATAAAAACAACATTTAAATCGACAGACATACATGTAAATGAATTCGCCAGTTTTATTTAAACTGCATATCAAATAAATTTTGTATTTTTCTTAAAACTTTTGACATATTTCTTTTAAAACATATAAATCTACAGTAGAGACAAAGATTCTTTAATGAATAAAAGTAAATTATTACATATTATACGTGCTAATAATCACAAATTCTGTAAGTTTGTATTTTATGATAATGTGAACGCATCCATCGTAATGATTTTAGGTAAAATCGTGAATTATAAAAACAGTAAATTGGTAACAAAATCACTTGATTGAAGCTGTTTAGTACTATTGACCTTGATATCTAAATCTCTGTGACTTTAGACTGAGTGATTATTAATCTGGTACATTGTATATTTATGTGCGACATGATTACAATTTATATTATGTGGTGGGCGTATACGGACACTTATAGTACTAAACAGCGGCGTATACGGACACTTATAGTACTAAACAGCGGCGTATACGGTCACTTTTAGTACTAAACAGCGGCGTATACGGACACTTATAGTACTAAACAGCGGCGTATACGGACACTTTTAGTACTAAACAACGGCGTATACGGACACTTATAGTACTAAACAGCGGCGTATACGGAAACTTTTAATACTAAACAGCGGCGTATACGGACACTTTTAGTACTTAACAGCTTCATTTATACTTAACATGCAAAATATACCTTACAAAGCAATTATGACATTAAGTAATACTTTTGCATGCATATGAAACAAACATGCAAGCTTAAATATTAAATACAGCTTATTTCATAATAATATATACGGTTTTACCCTAATGTGCCAAATAATATCACTTTTTCTTTCATGTTTATCTGATAACTTCAAGAATTTATTCCATATTAAACGTACAATTTATCAAACCATGCTTTACTTTTTTTAAATGTTTAAAGAAATCATTTTTCTTCATTGTTCTTCAAGTAATTTTATATGATTATTATCATTAAACTAATAATAAAACAATAATCCTTTAAAAATATTTATTTAAGCTAACACTTCCGGCATTCAAAAAATTTAAAAACAAGTCTTAATAAACAATGGAAATTTGTACAAGTAGAATATATTAATGATGTTTTAAATGCATAATGATATGTTGCGTATATTATGAATTTGTACATACATATTTTACAACGCCCATTGTGAAGAAAAATCAATTTATTTCAAAGCGTAATGTCATTAAAATATTGTTAAATACAATAAAGTTTAAATACAAGCAGTTTGGGGAGTATATCAAAGATTTTGCAAGCATGTATCACACGTATTTAGCAATCCAGCTGATCCAATTCTAGTAAAATTCGGTCAAATATAAGTTAACATCTATATGTTTTAATAATAACCCTATTGCATTAGGCTGGTAATATTTTGGTCTACACAAATAGCAGGTATCACAAATCTGCAGTGTTCTCCATCAGACAAAGCTTTTTAACTACGATTTAACAAATACTAGCAGTTATTCTATATCAACACATTCAACTACAGCAAAAATTTGCAAATACAACATATTGAAAATAAAATATGAAAAATTCTGTTTGTCTGAAAGCTTTAAACAATGTCACAGCCATATACAACATAAATTATTGACACTTGTCTGAGGAAAAAACGGAAAAAAAAACAACATTAAAACAAGTGTAAACGCAAAACCTTTACATTCAAATGTAATCATATTTCTATTCCAGCAATAAAATGACAAAAACGTACAACCTTTTTGTTCAGTGCAATAGTTATATAATAAATTGTCATAAATGACTTATTTTACACTTATGACCCTGGGACGGGGCCAATTTTGACCCTATGGCTATAATTTGAACAATTTTGGTAGAGTTCCACTACACAATGCTTCACGCCAAATATCTAACCTCTAGTCTTTGTCACTTTAAAGGAGAAGGTTTTTTAAGTTTTTACTATATACAATATATAAAACCTATGACCCCTGGGGCGAGGCCAATTTTGACCCCAGGGCTATTATTTGAACAACTTTGGTAGAGGACCTAAAAATGATATTATATACCAAATACCTAAGCTCTAAGCCTTGAACCTTCAAACAAGAAGATTTTTTAAGTTTGCATTTTTAAACTCCTTTTCTAGCCCCTTGACCTACTTATGCAACAGACCGGAACCATTTGTGTTACTGTGCAGTCATTGGTGTTAGAGGAGATGTTGTTTAAAGAAATTGCTGACAATGCACGCCGACGCATGAGGAGGATCATAACAGCTCACCATGAGCACGTTGTGCTTAGGTGAGCTAAAAAAGTGTTAACATCCAGTACTAAAACTCCATTTTTATCAGTTCTGACACTGGGTTGAAAATGTCTTCCTTTTTATTTGATAAGCTGGTACACTTCTTTTACGATAATGATGTATCATTTTTGTTAACACTCATCTTTTAAAATAACCAGTTTTGACAAGTGGAAAAGAGGCATTACTCAAAATATAGCTTACAGAATCATGCCCCTTGTCTAACAATTGCACCTTGTCAAGATAAACAAGTTTTCCAAGTTTCATGTTGGTAACTTTTAAAGTTTTTGCAATACAACGACAATGATGACACAGCAATCATAAAAGCTCGACTTTTTCTTAAAAAACAAACTACTAATGAAAACCACCTTCAGCTTCTATGTAGTATCTGGTAGCATTGCCATGAGACCTCAAGTTTGTATCGTAATCATTGGGCCTATGTTCATCAACATTCCAAGTTACAGTAGGCCTGTGTCCTGCTAATTTCTGATACTTTCTAAACATTTCTTGTCTCTCCTCTTCGTCTTTTATAGAAGCGATCCAGTGCATAATGCTTTGTCCATCAAGAGTTGGGAAAAGTTCATTCTCTATGCCTTCTTTAATGAGAAACTCAATCCAAGGTACCTGAAATCTTTCCAAACCTAGTTCACCTATGGATACAAGGACTCGTGTGATTCTTCGATAACTTTCTAAAGGATAACTGCAAAAAAGGCCAATATGAAAATACCTGTACATTATTTGGTCTGATCATATAAGAATGATGCCACAATAGATGGTAATACGAAAAAGTATGATGTAATTTTCTGATTTTTGTTTTTATTTTTTGAAAACTAAAGTAAAATATGAAAATTTGTACATTTCAATTCAGCTTACCCTTGCATACAGTTTCATAACAAGAGATGGTTGAACCGGGTGATGCTCCCCGAATAGGTTTTGGACACAGGAAGGTATACCTCTTGTTGTGTCAGAGTTATGTCACAGACAAAGTTCAAAGTGTAAAAACAACCCAAATATTGTGCACGACACATTGTCTCAACATGGTGATCATTTTTGTGAAATAGTTGTAAAATCCGACTTCAAATAACAAAGTTATGCGCCTGACATTATTTTGCTGCAAGGTCATGCTGTGATCTTGACCTTCAAGGTAGTGACCCAAATGTTGCATGAGACACGTCGATTCAATATGGTGATCATCTCTGTGAAATTTTTGTTAAATCCGACTTCCAGTAACAAAGTTATGGGCCGGACACGATTTTGCTGCAAGGTCATACCGTGACCTTGACCTTCAAGGTAGCGACCCAAATGTTGCGCGCGACACAATGTCTCATTGTGGTGATCATTTCTGTGAAATAGTTTTAAATCCGACTTCAAATAATGAAGTTATGTGCCGGACACAATTTTGCTGCAAGGTCATGCTGTGACCTTGACCTTCAAGGTAGCGAGCCAAATATTGCGCACGACACGCCATTTTAATATGCTGATCATTTCTGTGAAATAGTTTAAAAATCTGACTTCAAATAAGGAAGTTATGGGCCGGACACGATTTTGCTGCAAGGTCATGCTGTGACCTTGACCTTCAAGGTAGCGACTTAAATGTTGTGCATGACACGTCATCTTAATATGATGATCATTTCTGTGAAATACTTTTTAAATCCAACTTCAAATAGCGAAGTTATGGGCCGGACACGATTTTGCTGCAAGGTCATGCTGTGACCTTGACCTTCAAGGAAGCGACCCACATGTTCGCGCGACACGTCGTCTCAATATGGTGATCATTTCTGTGAAATAATTTTAAAATCCAACTTCAAATAATAAAGTTATGGGCCGGACACGAATTCGGTACGTACGTACGTACGGACAACCCGACGACTATATGCTCCCCCGAAATTTTGCGGGGAGCATAATAAACAAAGTGCAATAACTTCAAAATAAGGCAAGGCAAAGTAATGTTTCTTTTGCACTGCACATCTACTCATTGAGATCAAATCTATCTATCTTCTAAGTTTCATGTTGATATCACTTACAGTTTCAGAGTTATATCCCGTACAAATTTCAAAGTGTGAAAAATAGACAAAGGGCAATAACTCCAAAAACAAGGCAAGGCAGAGTAACGGTTTATTTTCACTGCACATCTACTCAATGAGATCTATCTATCTACAACATGTATAAAGCTTCTTGTTGATACCTTTTATGGTATCAGAATTATATCTCACACAAATTTCATAGGGTAAAAATAAACAAAGTGCAATAACTTCAAAATAAGGCAAGGCAGAGTAATGTTTCTTTTGCACTGAACATCTACTCATTGAGATCAAATCTATCTATCTTCTAAGTTTCATGTTGATATCACTTACAGTTTCAGAGTTATATCCCGTACAAATTTCAAAGTGTGAAAAATAGACAAAGGGCAATAACTCCAAAACAAGGCAAGGCAGAGTTACGGTTCATTTGCACTGCACATACTCAATGAGATCTATCTACCTACAATTTTAGTTTTTTGTTGATATCTGTTATAGCTTAAGAGTTATGCCCTGGACAGAGTTCAAAGTGTACAAATGGACAATAACTCCAAAATTAGGCAAGGCAGAGTTACAGCTCATTTGCACTGCACATCTACCCAATGAGATATATCTACTTACAAAGTTTCTTGTTGATAGCATTTGTAGTTTCAGAGTTATGTCCTGGACAAGAAAAAGGGACGGATGGACATGCCACCTTATTGGGATAAAGGACCATTTCTATTGTTATTTTCTTTTGTTTAATAGGGGGCGATTGGCCCCTTACTCTATTGTTATGGAATGAACTCTCTTCTAGTTCTCTTTTAACCTGTTTACAGTTAGATGGCACTCTAACCCTATTCGGTAGTGCAGACAGACATCCAGAGGAACAGAGGGATAAGGCGGCGACTATATGCTCTCCCTTTGGGGAGCATAAACATGTACATTGTAATGCAAATAATTGTACAGTATATTGTTATTCAGCTAACCTTTGCAAAAAATTGTAAAGGAATTGTCAGGTACAACAACCTACCTTTGCAGGTAAATGTAAAGCAATACAGCTTACTTTTGCACAAAATGCAAATCATTAACTAGCAATAGAGTTTACCTTTGCAAAATAATTGTAAAATACACTGCAAAACCTTTGTATGTAATAGAAAAGTAAATTGTAAAGTATATTGTGAAGTTTATATCATCTATATGTCTTACCTTTGCAAATAATCATATCTTTCTTTATAAGTTCGCTTCTTCCGCTTGAATTTCCCTTTGATATCATTATATAGCTCCATTCCATAAAAATCTAACAGAACATCAAATGCATCATAAACTCTAGAGCTAAGTACACTATCCTCACGTATTGCCTGTTTGGGAAAAAAAAACATAAAAAGCTGTTATATTTAAGGATGGCACTGTATTTTCAATTATGCAAACAAATAACTAGACCTATCACTGAAGGTGATTAATACCCCCACCAGCAACTTTGACTTTTTGAAAAATAAATGGTCTGGAGAAAAGTTTGAACTACTGTAAATGAAGTATCAACTGAACAAAGAATTATTTTAATCAAAAGCATTGCCAACCTGGGTCTTCATATGTACTATTTTTTTAGCTTGCTATACACCAAGTTTGATTACAATATCTCATTCCTACCTTTAGTCATTGTCCTGAAACCATTGCTCTCTATTTTTAGTAACCATGACCTTGACCTTCACCTCTGGGGTTCCAAATTCAATACCAACTAGGATCTTTACATAAGGTTACTATACACCAAGTTTGATTACAATATCTCATTCCTAACTCGAGTTATTGTCCGGAAACCATTTTTCTATTTTTAGGAAGGAAGACCTTGACCTGGACTCCACGGGGTCCAAATGCAATACCAACCGGGATCTTCAAATAAGGTTGCTATACACCAAGTTTGATTACAATATCTCATTCCTAACTCTAGTTATTGTCTGGAAACCATGATGTAGTCCAACCAAAGGACCAACCGACAAGCTGACCCCTGTATACCCCCCCCCCCTCTAAACTTTGTTTGTGGAGGTATAATGAGAGAAAAAAATTCAGACAAATTATTATATAGTATACCATAAAACATAATCATGTTAATCAAAAAGAGCCATATTCAAATGCATCATCTGTTTCCAATGTATTGTCATTTTTACTCAGCTTGCTGTGAAAAGTAGATTCTATCCATACAACCAATACAGATCCAGATCAAAAAGCACATCAATGTCTTCTGATCATGGTCTGTTCTGTTTTTTATTCAATCAGAGCATATTTTGATTTTTGTCCTAAAAGTGGTGAATGGTTTTGCCAAGATTAAAAGAAGAACAAGATAATTTAATATATTCAATGTGGTAAGGGTTAATGACATACACTTTTCTTTTATTTTTTCTGTTATGAGAATAAATAGGTATTATATACTTCTCCTACAGATATCATTACCTTAGCTTCATGATTGTGTAACACCTGTACCTCTTCGTTTACACCAACAGAGGAAGGAATTGGAAACAACCTATAATTGATCAACATAAAGATCATAATGTCAAATATCTAAGCTATGGTCATCTAAGCCTTTTTTAAACTGCCAGCATATATAATTAAGCTTTGGACACTGTAGTTTCACATATAGATACTTATTAATAAATGTTTGTCCTACTACAGATCTATATATATTTAGTGACCCCTAGTGTGGTACCGAATGTTCCTAGGCGCAGGTTTTATGTAACTTTTGTATAGTACCACAACGTGATTTATTATGCCAAATATCTATGCTCCAGGATTGCAGTATTGAATGAAATCTATACAATTTCTTTTGAGGACTACAAGGCTATACTAAATGGTAAATACACATGTATCTAAACAGAGGGCAATGAGTTTCTGAGAATTAAAGATTTTATTTCTAAAGTTCATTTTCTACTCTTGAGACATCATTAGACTGGAACAAACATTGGATACAGACACAGCGTCAGCACAGAAGCTTGAATCGCTAAAAGTTCACAATCTTGTTTAAAATGATGTTAAATATCATGACAGCAAATTAGACATTGCTATAGTTCTCTTGAGGACAAACTGTTAAACCTTGGGCAAAATCAAGGGTGTGACATTTGGAGGCTGACACTATCAGTCTCGCATATCAGACTGGATTTTCTTGTGTAGCACTGGTGCTTGGATATCATCAATGAACGTTCCTTTTAAAAGTTTTCCTTTGCCCAGTAATACAAATCAGTACACGGAGCGTGTATATGTTTCTTATAAGAAAATGTCTTAAACACTGCTTTTAAAAATTTACCGAATAATGGGGACATAATTTAGAAAAGGAAATTATTGTTAATTACTTGTGAGTTTATATTTTCAAAAGTTGTGCGGCTGTCAAAATTGCATTATAAGTTTGTATTTGTTTGTGTTTTTTCTTTTGTTTTGTTTTGGGGGAGGTGTGCACATTCAGTAAAGTGACGTAACTTCAATTTGTATTTGAAGAAGATTATCATTAAAATTTGGTTGAAAGTTCCAAAGAGTTATTTGCCTGAAATGACATTCAGAATGTCACTGCAAACACATAGTCTGAAAGAGAATTTCGCTCATTCATGTGTCTAAACGGCTGAAAATATTTCGGATAAATAACATGCATTTCCCGGTTAATGTGATTTTATCATAGAAGTTAAAACTAAGGTATAATAAAGAAGGTTGGCAAATGTAAACATTATAAAAATGTGTACATGTACGTTACATATTTAACTCTTTTCTTGGTGTTACATATAATAAGAAAATAAATGCATTTTAAGTAAAGGAGAAACGATTCAAATTCAAAAGTATCCTCTTACGGTTTTAATATTATAAAGTGTCTTTTTTAAAAAGCAGCTTACCTCATGCTTATTTTCATGAAAATTGTAAAAATGTCAAAGTAAAATATTCCAAAGTAAAATATTGTTAAGTGAGCAAAGAAACACATTGCAAACAGCATTTACAATCACGTAGATTATAAAAAAGAGATCAAAGTATGTCAAAAATAGGCATGACTGCGTTAGTCACGCATTAAAAATATGGTGATAAATTTTGCAAAGTCAGTCACTAATCGCACATAACATGTAAACCATGATCTAAATCCCTCTTAAGATCTTAGAACATTTTTCTCAGGTTTTATTTTCTTTATATAATGTTTTGCCTGTTCTGAAGGCATGAAACTTTAATAATTAACACATTTACAAAGACACTTACCAGTGAATAAAGCCAGGATACATTTCGAAGAACAGATGGTCCCCTTTGCAATGTAACATAGTCTCTATGGTGTAACCTACAGCAAAAATAAAACATGAATTAAATGAATTTCTAACTAATCAATTGTCATAGCTTAAAAGAAAACAACAAATAAACTGCAATATTTCCTGTCAATAACCTTTATTATAAATTTATATTACACCAAAATTCTTTCTATTGATTAAACTATTCGCAATTTTGCAACAGATATGCAAAGATAATGTAGTAGTTACAATTATCACATGAACAGTATTATTATATATAAAGCATACCAGGATTTGGTCTCGAAAGTTTTTTATTTTGGTAAAATTTCAAGTTATCACTTGCTTCTCTTTCTTGATTATGATATTGGTATGTCTCCTGGTGAACGAAACAATAATATTCTAAAAAAATATATAAATGATGTGATATATTACAAAACCCTGTAAATCTGACAGGAACTGTATAACAGTAAGTTCAACTTACAGGGTGTAAGGTCGTGATAACTATTTACACGTAAATATAAACATTACAAACTTTGTATGTTATCTCAAAGTTTTTCCTTGAAAAAGTCTTTACAAAGAGTAACTCACCTAGATTTCATAATCATCAGCTAGAAATGAAGGAAGATGTTCAGTACGAAGACCATGTTAATAACAAATACAAAAGAAGTTCACATTACAATAATAATGAAAATTACTTTATAATTTAAAGATACTTCATCTGATCCTTTTTCATAGTCGTCTGTTACTTGTTGTTTGTTTGGCCTTTCCATACTTGGTTTAGCACCAAGCAATGGTTTTACAATTTGTAGTTTTGATGATAGACTGCTTGTCGTGGAATCAACAGATGTGTCAATGTGCGAATAAGTTGCTTTGCTTTCGCACATTTTACGCTGCAGATCATCTTTCTTTTCAGTTACAGCTTTGCCATGATTTACCTTACTAGATAAATTAGTTTCAATCGAAAGATTAGTTCTTTCAGCTTTTAAATCACCACCATTCTCGTTTCTTTCACCTTCAGATTTCCAAACAGACTGTGCCTCATTTTCATCTATATCTGAACCGACTGCCTTTCTATACAACATTTCTCGTTCCCTGTCATCTTTCACTGTTATAACCCAATGCATTAGGCATGGACCATTAAGATTTGGCAAAAGCCCTTTAATCTTTGCTTCATCAATAATAAATTCAACCCAACGAGCTTGATAGCGTTCATAACCAAGTTCGCCCAATGACTTCAAAATACGTGTTATGCGTGATAGATTGTGGCGAGACCTGTGAATAAATAATTCAGCTTTAGAAAACGTCTTACACTTCGACGATTTGTTAATCAGATTGAACAAAGATAACGTCTTTCAATAAAAAGAAAAATTTACACAATAACTACGAATCAAAATAAACTGATATAATATTAAAAAATCTTAAAAATCCATATAATCATAAATTCAAAATAAATTGTATTATAGTTTATATCTATTTTTTGATTTCTCAGAAAGAAAGTAAACAAGACAGACTGAGGGCACTTGAAAATTTGAACTGCAAATCCTCTCATGAATGCACAAAATTCCTTGAAAAGCATTGCTGTGGTTTTGCAGATAATGGATGAAAAAGTATCAAATGGCATAACTGCAAGAGGTTAATAACATGTTTTTTATATATAACTTGCTCAACACTTTCTTATACTTACTACGTCTATGAAAAGGTTAAGCAGAAATTAATTTAGTCTGATGTTGCTGATAAATACTCTTGCAAAATGATATGGTACTAATATTTACTGTTGGCAATGAAGTTTCCTAATTATTTTCAGTCAAATTCAGTGATTAATAAAAAAATGTCCACCCAATCCGAAAGGTTTAATTCAGTCAAATCATTGGTACTGTTATGGCCTGAGCAATTGTGGTAAAAATCGTCTCAAAACCGTTAGAGAAGTTTTTATTGGATATACTCATTTGGTGATTTGAACAAAGATGTGTGTAAATTAACCAATTGCTATGTTCATAAATATTTTTATAATATTTTATAGCCTGATATTCTTCATATAGTCTAGGTAAGAAAAGCGAGTGATCTATACACAAGTTATCAAATCAGATTGTTATTTCAATATTCAATAATTTATCAGTTGCAATTCAGGTTACCTGTTAAGATGGTCATATCTATCTTGCCAGCCTATATCTGCTCTTGTCACAAGTCCATGCTTACTGTCTTTTAACTTCATCCCATAGAAGTCCAGCATCATCATAAAGGCCTTCAAAACTCGCCTTTGTGCCCCATCATCTTCTCTTATAAGCTGTTATAATCAAGCATATTTAATATCATATTATGGTTTTAAGACAAGTGTGCCTCACGGTTTATTCCACATTTGAGAATAACTTAGAAAATAATCAACGGCATATATTGTGTCTAGAATATAACATTAAGTGAATATAACTGTCGTAATGAACGGCTCAATTGTGCTTATGGCATAGTCGGCACTTAGTGGAAATCCTCAGCCCCACATTCCGATTTTGGCGCTACATCAAAACCACAGTAGTAAGTTGCAATTTCAGGAAATGAGGAAAGTAGAAGCTTGGTTCAAACCCCTATACCGTCCAAGTATTCCTACTGTCTTCATCACAGGTGGAAGACAAATATGATACACTCAGTTTCCATAAAAATCGAAGTTAAGCAAACCCCGGACATTTAAAATTGGTTGTGATTGAAAGCACTGTCATTAGAAGACGATTTGATTGAACTTGTAATGTGATAAGTAGCAATACCAATTTTGTAATAATAAACCAGTAGATTTATGAGATTAGCTTATTCTCAACCAAATTATTGGAACATAAGCAAATGTGTTGTTGTTTTTTTTTACCAAAAATGTAAGTGTTTATAAGTATGGTGTTGGAGCGTTTACAAAGCATTTATTGGCGGATATTTTTGGTAAATGTTGACGATTACGTAACGTAAAATAACATTATGTAGCCTATTTTTTAACAACGTGTGTAACCGCCACGTGCCATATGATTATGCCTCAATAATTTGGTTAATAATAAACTGAACTCTGAAAATATACCGGTTTATGATAACTAAATTATTATGATCGCTATTTATCGAATTACTATTTCTTAGCTCAATTAAGTCGTCATCTCATGACAGTGCTTTAAATCACAACCAATTTTCAGTTTCCGGTGTGTGCTTAACTTATTTCCATGTGTATATATTAATCTTATCATTACAGCGAGTTGTATTTTATTATTGTGCAAGGCTTGGTCATTTACATGTAATTACAAAATATCATTTCATAAATATATACCTTATACTACTTACCTTTGCTTCATGTTCAAACAGCTGCTGGGCATTAGTGTTAATGCTGTTATTATCTGGTACAGGAAATAGCCTTTACAATGTGGAAAGAAAGCAAATTTTAAAAAACAACATAGTTTTGTTTCAATATACATGTTATCTGAGTGAATATTAACAAACCCCTGAAAATAGTCAATGCATGCAAAATACAGAAAAACGTGCTCTATTAAGATTACAAACGAGTCCTAGTTAGCATGGTCTTAATTGTGAAGTCTTCTCGTATGTAGATGTTGTTACTTAGTATGAGATATTTATGTATGCACCCATTTTTGACATTTTTATCTAAATTATAAAACAAGATTTTCCTGTCTGAAAAAAGTTTCATTGAAAAAATGTCATAACGTTTGATCTGGTGGGAGCAGAATATAAATCTAAAGAAAAAAACTATCAGTGGTTTCAACAGCTGAGCAAAATAAAGAATAAACAAAATATTCGGGGCCATTAATTAGAGGTCTGCTTTCATCCCAAGAATAATGTGTTCAAGCCTTGTTGGAGTAATAACTAGTCCTCATATAACAAAAGTATTGCTTCGTTCAAAGAGACTGATTATAAATGGTTCATGCATGCTACAAACGTTCTTCACAATCAAGTTTAATAAAACAGAATATTTAAACTAATGTACCATTGAATGTAGTTTTGGTTCTTTTCAAGCATTTCATAATTCCCTTTCCACTTCAACATGTCTTCAATCATATGTCCTTCAATAGCAAATAAAAACAGCATTTTACAATTCAAATACTAGTATAAAAACATACAATATAAGTGATATCAATTATTAATATCTATCAAGGTTTAAAAACACACCAAATTCATCTCCAGATCAGGATCCCTGGCCATAGTGATCACTTGTCTCGACGGGTAAATGTTAAATGAAATATGCTTGCACCACACACTATATAGATGTTACTTTCAAAGTAACGTGTATTTAATATTTTTTAAGCAAATGTGTAGAAAAAGTACTAAAATGTGTTCTCTTTGTATGCAATTGCATAATTTTAAGGGAAGATTTATAAATAAAGAACCCATTTTAAGCAATGAATATCAGAACAGAGCCAAGCAAAAATTCAATTTTCTGACCTAATATTTGTCTTAATACATCTCTCGTACACATTAACATTAATATCACAAGTGTTTTTATAAATGTGATGCTGACAATTAAAGGACACAAACATTAACTAAGATAAATTACCAAATCAATGATATATATCTCAATGTATTTTTATTTACCAATAGCAAAACACTAAGTTTTTTTATGGTTTTATGATCATTTTAGCTTACAAATGTGCTAACTGTACTTTAACAGATAAAATATTATTTTGAGCAAACTTATCGGATGTAAAGTTACATATTTAGGATTATACTAAACAATTGCATAATGTATAACGCAAAAAAATGCAACATAATATAAATTGTACACTCCGTGAGTCTGGATAAGGTAGGGATTTATCACACACCCGTGCAGTTTTTACGACTCCGTAAAAATGGTATTGCAAGGCCGTGCATATATTTTAACGTGACGTCATTTTCGTTATATAAACATAGCGTTTAGACGCGTTAAATGTTGGCGTTATACTGTAGGCGCGATAATGAGAAAATGGATCTAATTTACTTCCAACGTTCTTTATTTTTGGTAAGCGTTATACTAAATTTATTGAACTCGTTGAATAAAATATTAATACGCCGCCAGAGGCTCGCATGATATAATTTTATTCAACTCGTTTAATAAATTCGGTATTAAACTAACACTCATGCAATATCCTTTACTTATTCCTCTTCTTATTTCTCTACTCTACAAAAACTTAACAAAACACATTATGAAGTCCTTTAAAGAAGTGGTATCATGCCCATTCAAGTGTAAATGATCACTGAATAGGTAACAAAACAGCTTGACATTTTGCCATAAATGTGTTAAATATTAAATTTTATTATAATAATGAAAATAAATCAATGTGATCAACGGGAATTTCTTTAAATATCGTTCAGAATGTATTGATTACAACAAATGTGGGGCAGGCTCTTTATAATTTATAGTAGTTTTTAGTGGATCATACATATTTTTCATTCTTAATTATTGTTCTCCCGCCATTACTGGTATAAAAGGCAATCTTTTGAATAAAATTACTAATTTTATGTCGACTTAATGAAATAATGAGCATGCATGATGTCACCAAAAGAAGCTCATTTGATCTTAAGAGTGCGAAGACAGGGTTAAAGCAAAACAAGAAATATTATTCAGTACATCACCTGGCAGTGGTCTTGACTTTATTCTATTCTTATAGAAGTCAACATTGTCCTGGTAACACTTTGCTCTTGCTCCTGTTAACTATATCAATTAAATTTAAGATTAAACATTACAATACATTTCTAACTAATACATTTCTAACTATAGCATTGAATAGAAAAAATGTGCAATCGAATAATCATACACCGGAGGTAATTTGAACAAAATCTCACCCAAAGAAAGGTTAAGCTATTTTCTGTCATTTACCTGCAGTAGGTCAGTATAGAATGCCTTAGATCTGTTTCATTCTTGAGTTACTAATCCAATATAGACACTTTGAAATGCTAACGCTCATTTATCTTCTTTTGCTAAGTACTTTTACCAAAGTCAGTTGTTATCCCAACTTCTGTATTTTTATATTCAATGCAAAGACCCTGAGAGGCAGGAAAGGTCAGATGATGTTGTGCCAAAACAATGCGACTGTCTTGACATAACAGTAAAGGGACAAATGCCAATGGCATTTAAACACTCCGCTTTAATCCCTTTACACTTCCCTGGTGGGGGCTTGGTAACTTTTGGTTATCATGAATGTTTTATAATAATAATAGAAAATCTTCTTGGGTTAATTTTAAATTGCAATATATCAATAGACAACTAAATCACCTTAAAACATTTTTATTTGACAAGTGTAAACATTTATGAAAATACAATTGGTTTTGATGGCTATTTCATTAGCCAGGTCAATAAACTTGTATATTCACCTAATCATCATACACCAATTGTATAATACTATCAAGGTAAGTTAATGTTTAATGCAACAAATGTTTGTAAACATTAACGTTGCTTGCTTTACGCATACATTTGAAAATGAAACCCTACCGCTTGTTTAACTTTGGAAAATAATTCATCTTTGTATATGCTTGCAGTCATACAAACACCTACCTTGTCGTCTTCATTACCAGCTGTACACCCGTCTTGATCAATGTCAAAATCCAGTTTTTGTAATGCGTTATTGTTTTGATTTTTCTGACATCTACTCGTTACTTGAATTTCATCTGTCGTCGTCTTTCCAAGAACACTGTCGCTAATATTTCTGTTCATTACGACCATATCTTGCCTTCTTTTTTCATCAAGTAGAGAAGCCCTCGCAGCACTAGATATTGTATGTCTTATAACACTTTTATTCAATTTTTGCGGCATTATTACTTGCATCCGATCCTGTTGCTCATCTATATGCAAATTAATTGAAAATAATTAAACATTACTGCTTGTTGTGCATTATCTTCGCACTTGTTTCAAAAGTGAATTTCGGGAGGAAGAAGTGGCGTTCTATCTTATAAAGAAAGATACGATTATTTGCAAAGGTAAGCTTTATAAGTCATTGCAATATTCTTGACAATTTCTTGGAAAAAAAACTGTATTGTAATGTACTTAAAATTACTATGACCTGCAAAGGTAACCTGTATTGCAATGACCTTACTGTTATCTGCAAATTAAACTCTAGCGTTTAGACGCGTTAAATGTTGGCGTTATACTATAGGCGCGTCAATGAGACAATGGGTCTAATTCACTTCTAACGGTCTTCATGTTTATGTGATTAATAGAATACTAAATTCATGTAAGTGTAATACTTAATTTATCTAAGTCGTTGAATAAAGAAATATTATGCTCGCCAGAGGCTCGCATGATATAATTTTATTCAACTCGTTCGATAAATTCGGTATTAAACTTACACTCGTGCAATATCCTCTACTTATTCCTCTTATTATTCCTCTACTCTACTTGTGCATAACCTTAACAAAACACATTATGAAGTCCTTTAAAGTGGTATCATGCCCATTACAGTGTAAATGATCACCAAAACAGCTTCAAATTTTGCCAAAATTGTGTGAAATATTAATTTTTATTATAATAATGAAAAGGAATCAATGTGATTAACGGAATTTCTTTTAATATCGTTCAGGATGTATCGGTTACAACAAATGTGGGGCAGGCTCTTTATAATTTAAGGTAGTTTTTTTTATTGGATCATACACATTTTTTACTATCAATTATTGTTCTCCCTCCATTACCGGTATAAAAGGCAATCTTTTGAAAAATATTACTCATTTGACTCGACTTAACGAAATAATGAGCATGCATGATCTCACCAAAAGAATGTCATTTGATCTAAAGAGTTAAAGCAAAACTGTACATCACCTGGTAGAGGTTTTAACTTTATTCTATTCTTATAGAAGTGAACATTGTCCTGGTAACACTTTGCTCTTTCTCCTGTTAACTATATCAATTAAATTTAAGATTAAACATTAAGATGGTGTTGTGCCAAAACAATGCGACTGTCTTTATACAACAGTAAAGGGACAAATGGCAATGGCAAGTAAATACTCTGCTTTGCTCCCTTTACACTTCCCTGGTGGGGGCTTGGTAACTTTTGGTATTCATGAATGTTTTATAATAATAATAAAAAATATTCTTGGGTTAATTTAAAATTGAAATATATCAAACGACAACTAAATCACCTTAAAAGGTTTTACTTGTGTAAAAATTTATCAAAATACAATTGGTTTCGATGGCTATTTCATTAGCCAGGTCAATAAACTTGTATATTCACCTCATCATCATACACCAATTGTATAATACAATCAAGGTAGGTTTATGTTCATTGCAACAATTTTTTGTAAACATTAACGTTGCAAGCTTTACGCATACATTTGAAAATAAAACCCTATCGCTTGTTTAACTTTGGAAAATAACTCATCTTTGCATATATATATGCTTGCAGTTTTACAAACACCTACCTCATCGTTTTCATTATCATCTGTACACCCATCTTGATCAATGTCAAAATCCAGTTTTTGTAATGCTCTATTGTTTTGATTTTTCTGACAACTACCCGTTACTGGAATTCCATCTGTGACCGTATTTCCAGGAACACTGTCGCTTATATTTCTGCTCATTACGACCATATCTTGCCTTCTTTTTTCATCAAGTATAGAAGCCATCGAAGCACTAGCTATTGTAGGTCTTATAACACTTTTATTCAATTTTTGCGGCATTATTACTTGCATCCGATCCTGTTGCTCATCTATATGTAAATTAATTGAAAATAATTAAACATTACTGCTTGTTGTGCATTATCTTCGCCCTTGTTTCCAAAGTGAAAGTAGTGACAAACAATACCACTTTCAAGTTAGTTTTATTAAAAGATAAGCCATGATTGCTAAGCATAATTTGACCTTACTCTTTGCGGCTCGCTATATTTTTTGTTGCTCTAAACATTTGTACACTGTTAAATGCTAATAAAGTCTAATGTCATTATCATTATCTTTGCGGCTAGCAATCATATTTTATTTAATTATCATCGATCTAAATATTATTGCTCAAACATTATTGCAGGGCAATACAAGCACAATTTTCAATCAGTATTTTCATGTCATTTAAACAACTTATTTCAACTTAGTTGACATTTTTCACTCGTAACTGACAAAAGAATGACTGTTAGAGTAATGATATGAAATAGGTAATGTGATGTCTGGAGTGTTTTGTTGTATTTGATTTCATTTCAAAATCAGTTCAAGAGATAATATATATCTAAATTAAATGTAACGGTATATGATTGCAAGAATAAATCCCTTGATAACAAATTCATAAATTATTCTTTGAAAACCTGTTCCTACAAGAAATAAATGTTTCATCAAAAAATAATTATCATTGATATATATAAAAAATCTCCATTGAAACCAATGACTTTTCTTCATTAATACGAATCATAATATTGTGACAAGTGACAGCAAGTTCATAGACCTACAAATATACATTAAGGTGATTCCGCTTTGTCAGCCATGTTTGTTTTCACTAAAGTCTGTCCAAAGTGAAAGTAGGCCAAAAATAATTGCCGTATACAGAAATAAAATAAATGCTTGTAACGTTAAAATTGCATGCCTACAGATGAGCCAGAATATTTCAAGAAAATCAAAATTGAAACAAATATATTAAGATTTTAAGAAAAGTAAAACTAATCAAGGTTTTATAAATAATGAAAATGTTATGTGCATTAATGACTGATTTTTGAAATGCTAATCACCATATTCCTATTACATCAATAACGCAATAAGGGGTAATTTTGCATATTTTGACCTCTTTTTTGTAATTAACATGGATTGAAAGCGCCGTTTGCAATGTGTTAATTGCCTTCACAATAATTAACCTTTAACTACATTCTCAATTGGTTATGAAAATTAGCAAGAATGTAGAGGCATATACAACAGGCAATACGTGAGGATAATGTACTTAGCCTTAGAGTTTATGAGGCACTTAACATTATAATATATTTTCATGGAATGAAGCTTTATAACAATGTAAAATGGAAAATCGGGAGGAAGAAGCGTTCTATCTTATAAAGATAGATACGATTATTTGAAAGATAAACTTTATAAGTCATTGCAATATTCTTTACAATTTCTTGCAAAATAAAACTAATTTACTTTAAATTACTATGACCTGCAAAGGTTACCTGTATTGCAATGTACTTACAGTTATTTGCAAAGGTAAACTCTAGCGTTTAGACGCGTTAAATGTTGGCGTTATACTATAGGGGCGTCAATGAGAAAATGGGTCTAATTCACTTCCAACGGTCTTCATGTTTGTTATGTGATTAATAGAATACTAAATTCATGTAAGTGTAATACTTAATTTATCTAAGTCGTTGAATAAAAAAATATTACGCTCGCCAGAGGCTCGCATGATATAATTTTATTCAACTCGCTCGATAAATTCGGTATTAAACTTACACTCATGCAATATCCTCTACTTATTATTCCTCTACTCTACTTGTTTAAAACCTTAACAAAACACATTATGAAGTCCTTTAAAGTGGTATCATGCTCATTCAAGTGTAAATGATTACCAAAACAGCTTGACATTTTACCATAATTGTGTTAAATATTAAATTTTATTATAATAACGAAAAGGAATCAATGTGATTAACGGAAATTTCTTTTAATATCGTTCAGAATGTATCGGTTACAACAAAAGTGGGGCAGGCTCTTTATAATTTATAGTAGTATTTTTTTATTGGATCATACACATTTTTTTCTGTCAATTATCACATAAACCGCGGCGCAG